AATAACCTTCCCAAGTCACTGTGACCCTTACAGAGTGTGTCCTTTCAGTGACATTGGCCCTTGGGTGCATGAGTTTGCATGTGTTCAGTTGACTTATGTGCTTGGTTCATGTACTCCCTGCCTGTATCTGCCTTTACGATGGTCATGCTCCACTCACAGAGACTCTGCTAGTAGGCTTTACTCCAAGCCAGCAGAATGTGAGCAAGCTTTCACCTAAATACATTCAATCATTCAATATAGTAAATCCCTGTGAGTGCACACTGCTGTCAGATCAGAGCTGGCATTTCACCAGTTTAAATTACAGATAGAATAAGCATATATAAAAGAGAAGGGCCTGAGAAGGGATTGTACTCCTCGGGAGGAAGACAAAAATACAGAAGGCAAGTACGGTGCTTTTTAACACAAATGTGGTGTAATCAGGTGCTTTCATGACCTGGTTGATTTAGTGCGAAGCTTTTTGTGAGTTTGTCTTTTCCAAATAATAGTTTAGCGTTACAGTAATGGTCCAGAATGTGCTTTTGCAAAGCAAGCCAGAATAACAATGAAGTGAAACTGTACTGCAGACACAAGGATCTCTTATCTAAAGACCCTAACTGGAACACTAACCCTGTTAGATATAGGGTTAGTGTGCCAGTTGGAAAGGCACATAATGATTAATAGAAAAAAATTGCTCTTTTTATTTCAAGTAGTAGGTGTGGAAGTGACCATAGATGACATATATATTACTTTAATTCAATCTTAGTAAAAGGTTGGCAAACAGTGTAATGTAAATACCAACAAAGGCTGTTGTTCCTGAAAGTATTCCTGAATGCTTTTCTTTTTATGAGAGAAATTGAAAGGTTGTGTAGTATAAACTGCAAATCTTACAGCAATTTTGGTATCTCTGGAGAGAGCAATTTGCTCTGAACATAGAATCAAAACACAAATGGTCATTCAAAGCACTAGCAGTGGAAACAATTTTTTTTTTTTTTTTACTAACTTTTGGTAAAAATACTCTCGCATTTAGAAGCTCATATGAAAACATGTTTAAAGCTAGATCAGGCCTTAGTAGAAACTAGCGAATGGGTGGTTGTTCCATTAAATACCTTTATGTGTGCATATAGTTTTTGGTTAAAAAAGAAGAGGTGCTACATCTGGTCCTCATTGTGAGACACCAGCTTCTTTGAAGATCAGCAAGTTGATCCTTTTTAAAACCTTTAAAAAACCCCTTTTTTTGAAACTTCTAAAAAATCGCTGATATGGCAGAGGCAGCGGGTGGGATTTTTCACTTTCTGAAAGGGATCACTGTTAAGAGATTTGAGATTAGAATTTTGTCATCTTTCCCTTATGAAAAGCTGTTAACTATGTTGTTACTTTTAGTGAAAGAAGGTAGTTTTTTCACGTTTACTCTGTGAAAAAGTAGGGGCAAATCCATAGAGGTTACTGTGGAGCAGCTGATGGGCTGTTGGATTACCTCCCACCTGACCCCTCTGGTACCTTGCTTGCTCATTCATATGCATTGCAGTAGAGGTCTGCAGTGTCTTTGCTTGTGAGAAGTAAACCACTGAATAATTATTTGGTTACACGTTCCAGCATATGCCATGCCATTTTTCCTTGTGGATGTTCTTGGCCTGCCAGATAACATCATTATGATGATGGAGTTAGCTGTAGTGGTATCTTTTGGTGGGTTTGTGAGCTTCCCCAGTGTCCCTGGAAGACAGATTTGAGGTGCCTTTCAGATGCGCTTACCGCTGTGTTGCTGATATGGGTGGCTTGCTTCTACATCATCCTGAACAGTACCTAAATTCTCCATTTGTCTTATTTTGATTTGTGTGAAGGGTGATTTCCACGTAATCGGCAAACACTTGGTAAATTCCAAGGAAGTAGAAAGGTGATGGGGCAAGTTTTTGAGCCTGGAGGGTCCTGTTGAATTTTGCTGTGAGACTATTGATTGTTTGATTAAAATCAGATCAAAGTACTGGAAGAGATTGACTTGAATATGTGCTATCGCCGAGAGTCATTTTCTGTTCTTCATTAATATTTCCTCTCCCCAAACTCAATAATGGCAAGTATATGTTTGAGACATTTTATTTCAGTCATTTCACAGTTATTAAAGTAGCAGAATAGGAAATGTAATTGACTGACTGAAGGTTTTGGGTATGCTTGAGCTTTGTTATGTTACAGGAATTACATGTATTTGCTTCTTTTTAAAATTAAAGAGCTACTGACTTGCTTATTAGACTACTGTTAACTGGGTGCTAAGGGAAACTGGTGATGTTAATTTTAAAAGTGGTGACTGCTTTAAAAACGTGCCTTATATTTGTGTGAAAGTAAATTGTCATATTTTTACTCATAAAACCTTGATTAGTGTGTTTATAAGATCCTTTTCTAATGGGCCAATGACCTGGAGAGTGCTATATTAATAGGTGTAAATTTGTAAACTTAAAATCTGTTAACATCTTGCCAAGTTAAATTGATGCAATCCAAATGCATTTTTATACTGATGTATACAGAATAGCCAGGTAACTGTTCGTAGTCTCATTTATTTCTGTTGCTTATTTGTGATCAACTGAGGTAATATTTTGGTAAATGTTAATATGTCATATTTTTTACATATATAGTGGAGGCTTGTTCTGGTTTGTGGCACTTTGTTTTGTTGTCTTTTCCTTTTAGGATGTGTAGAGTGTAATTAGTTTTTAACTATGAACATTCTGAATTGGGATTCTAAATAGAAACCATTGTGTAATGCAGGTAACCACAGAACTTCCAACTTCTTGTGGAGAAAACCTATTATATTCAGAGCAGTAGTAAAAAGTCTAATAGCTGTTTTGTTTTACCTTAGTTTTTAAAAAATGTATGCTATTTTATATAAAGCTAGCATGGAAACAAATGACTGGGAGACACTGTGTTGGAAATATTTAGTTTTTCTTCTTTGTGCAAGGTACAGTGTTTGCAAATATGGGGAGGCTTAGTATTTCTTTGATTCGGAGTGAGTTTGTCACTCCTGGCAATAGAGAAATCAATTGCCAGTAGCTTGATGAGGTTTAGTTTGAAGGTAATTGAAGTTTTACTGTGATAAATCCTTCCTATTAATTAACAGGAACAATTTCTTGTGACAAGACCCCCCCTAATTAGCTGACAATTTATAACTGAGGAACGGGTATTGACTGAAAACTTAAGACCCTTCAACACATTCAGTTAACATAATTAAAATGAATGAGAACTGCATTTGGCACGCCTCATTTTAATTATGTGAAAGTTATATTTGCATGTCACTTTGTGCTCATTTGAGCGTGTTGTATGTTAGTTCAAACACTGTGGATATTATTCTGTCTATATTTTTAAAGTAGAAACACTAAGTTCAGCAAAGCTTCAATAATTATGCAGAATTTCACAAATCTCTTAAATTATTTTAAGGCAGTTTCTGTGTTGTTTTGGAAATTAATTTAAAGTTGAAAATTTCACTTACGCATTTCTAATGTAACTATTTTGATAAATATGTATATAAACTTACAATTAAGATGTTTGGTTATGAATTTATACAGTCATCTTAACCTGGCTTTCTGGGAAATCTTGTTGGAGTAGTGTTTTGGTGGAGAGGGAATATTACAACTTGGTAGAACTTAATATACTGTCACTTTCATATTTCTGGTGGCACAGCTTGTCTGCTTCTCTAATCTGTTTTACATAGTGATGGCAGACTTCTTTCAGTAGTAGTATCAGAGGAAAAATAGAAATGTTTAGTGTGGGAAGCACACAGAAATACAAAGCTGAAATAAAAGGGGAAATGTACTTTCAAATTTGGTAGAACAGTATTTTCCAGCAATTTGTGACCTATTGTTGGGAAAACATGTTGTATTTATTTTGGTTCACAGTGTACTGAACATTATTTCTTTAATTGTTTCCAGAGGTTTTTAGTGTATAAATGGAATTAAAAAATGGCAAGGTGCCATTTGCAGTTTATTTTTGTGTTTTGCACAAAGAACTTGCCAGAAATCATAATTTTGAAATGCAAAGCCTCAGTGTTATATTTTCAGTTTGGTTTGATTCCATTAGAGAACATGACTTTAGCGTTTTATGCTGGGAAGCATTTGTGCGCAATTGAAGAGAGAATTGCTGTTCCCTCACAGCAGTATGTGATCTCCTTGATGGGATACTCAGCCTCTGGTTGTCTTCCAGCCAGTCTGGGCATACACATGCTTCAACCTACCCGTCTGCAGCTCCGGATCCCGCCAAAGGTGTGCATGAGGGAGAGGAGGATGCTGTTGGTCTGCAAGGTCGTATGTAGGGGGAGAAGGGAAGATTTACTGGTGTGGATTTTTTGGTGTGTAGGGAAGAACACGGAGAATTGTTAGGAAGGATTCGTCATGGTCTGCCTTGGGATAATTTGCATAGGGCATTTGCGAGACAAAATCCATGGGAAAATGGGTTTCATTCTTATATTCATTGTTAGTGAAAGTGTTAGATTTCAAATGGAAAATACTGCTACCCAACTGGAAGAACAGTGATAATATTCAAGTGTGGTGTACCACATCCAGTTTGTTAACTGGATTTCATTGGTTAGGTGTTAAGTATTAAGGATTGATATAATTACTGATGTTCTCTGCTTCTTCACCATTTCAACCTGATGAATGTGACAGATTAGGTATCATGGTAATTGTTTCACAATTAGGTATCATGGTAATTGTTTCACAGTTTGAAACTGTACAGAGGCTGTGAAACAGGGTTTTGGTTTACTAGTGTTTTTTCTTTGAATTCATAGAACCGGAAGGTAGTACAGTGAAAATAGTGATTTCTAAAAATTCTGAGCCACAGAATATACCCTTTCCTCTGGAATTCCAGAAAGGAATTCCAGAAGCTACAAAGATTTCACTTCGGCATTGTAGTTCTGCTTACCTAAAACACTACAAAACCATTTTTGCTCTGAGTCCATAAGTTTTTACTTCAGTATTTTTATTTCTTTCCAGATACTGGTGTATGAATTAGCGTCTAAATTACTTATTTTTCTTCTCTTCCAGGCTGCTGAATCAGGAATAATAAAAGTGAAAACAATAGCTGCACGTAACACTGATATTTTGGCAGGTAATTATTTGCAGTTCAGTGGGAAAAATAAACTTGGGTTACAGACCAAAATGTTAAAAAGGTGCCTTGCATACGTGTACTAATTCTGTATGTCTTTTTGTGTGACTGTATCAGTGATGCTTCTGAGCACCTAACAAAAAAATCAGTACCATGAGAATTTTTTAATGCTACTTTTGTTTTATGTTAGTGCTATACTGATGCTGAGGAAGGTCTCCATTTTGAGTTGTGGCTCTACAGAATAAATAATCCACTTAGAAAAATAGCATGAAATACTCCGAATTCTCAATGTTTTATTCACTGTCTGTGTTGAGCACAGCTGTTGTTGAGTGATCTGTGTGGAGTTCTGGGTATGATCCTCATCTGTGTGTTTAGTACGAGAGTCTAGCCTTTGGAGACTTGTACCTGGCAGGCAAAAATCCATCTTGATCTGAGACAAGGTCATTCAATTTAAGATGTACCACTGCCTTGAGGGACAGGAGATATCTTGTGAGTTGCAGCTTTGTAAGTGCTTAAAACTGTATCTCTGACTTTCTTCAGCTTTATTAAATAGCATGTGAATTGGTGGCTTCTTGCCAATTGCTGGTAAAGCCTTTGGCCAGATTTGAATGTCCCTGTAATTACTACTTGAGTGTCTACCTCAGCCGTGGACAAAATCCTTAAAATGCTAAATTATTTGAAAGGTCCAAATGAAATAGATGTAAAACTATTTCTTCTTTCGAAGCGCTTAAATCAGATACTGGTAAGGAGGCACTTTCTAGAATTATTTGAAGTAGCAGTCCCAACCCTCAATATTTCATTTTAATGCCTCTTTTTTATTTGTTTATTTTCTTTGTTTTTACTGCTGTCATGAATGCTGACATAAGTGGGAAAACTATGCCAGGTAATGTCAGCTATATCGAAATACACAAATGAACAAGAGAAGTCTCTAGTTAGCCATTTGCGAAGCTGTCAACATTCTTTGGCATATTACTGTGTGAAGAACTTTGTATTTTAGAAAGCTGGTTTGTAATCCTGAAAAATTCTTTGATTTTTAAATCTTCGTTTCAAAGTGATGTGAAGGATTGTTGATTCTGGGCATGGATAGGCAGTCTTGAGTGTAATCTTTTTGAGGGAACACTTTCTGTTAGTTGGTCAGATTTTGTAAGTACTTTTCCTTTGGAAGTTTTCAACTACAGTGTAGCTCATATTTTTTTAATTCAGCAAAAAAACCCAAACTGTGCAGTTTGCTTGTTATGAAGTTTGGAAAACCAGCATATCCTGAAAGTTATTTTGATCAGTTAATCTTTGCTAATAGGATAATCATGTTTTTCCCAGTGAGAAACTGTGGAACAGAGGAAAACGTATACTTTGCCTGCATATTATCCTAACATTCCATAATTTAAACATAATGCCATTAAACAGTCCCAATTCTTTATCGACCCTTGTATTTTTTGAGGTAACCTAATCTTGTAGGTATGTTAATGTCATGATGTCTGTTGTCCCCTCTCTGCTATTTAGATATTTTATTTTTTGGGGGGGGAAGATAGCATATATACTTTAGTAATACTAAAGCTGTAAAAGGCTACTATAATTGTGAAATCTAGTGAAGTAAATGCTTTTTGCTAGAATATTTAACATCTACTAGACCAAACAAGTATTTTGATCAGGATATGATTTTTTCTTTATATTTTGATGTAAACTGCCATTTCTCTAAAATAAATGAACACAACTGTATCAGATTGGTTTGAAGCAGCTGACCTGATGCTTTCTTGAAGCATTGCACTGCGAATGATTATAATTTTTAGAGAAGTAGATGCAATATTAAAGTTTTTACTGAAATCTTAAAAATCTTTATTGTGTCTGGTGAGATATGCTGAACTTGGCAGAACTCTAAGGTCATTGATCTAACTTTTTTCTTTCTCTTGGAAAAGTTAAGCTGTGCAGTTTGAAAGTCTTCATTCTTAGCAGTCTGTACATGCTTTATAATTTATTTATGAGGATTCAAGTGATTCTGAAAGAGAAGTCAGCTTCTGCTTTATATCACCGGAGGTAAATGTGAGAAGTTATTTCCATGTGGCTCTGAGATATGCAGTTCATACTTTTGTTTTAGGAGTTCTTTTAAAAAATCAGAATTACAGTCTTGCTGATGGAATGAAAGACTAAATTTTACATCCCAAAACTTTTTTTTTAATGTGTTCTTTACATTAGATTTTTTTTTTCAAATATATATTTACATAATTTTGGTAGCAAAATGGAAGCAGACCTGGATGTAAGAAAACTTCTGTGTATTTAAGACTGAGCTAGTATAATGATCAGTACTAAACCAGGTCTACAAAACATTAATTTTTCAGCTTTATAAAGTAAAAATCCTTGTATAGATCTTGTTGTGAGATTGTTTTTAACAGATTACAGGAAAAATACTGTAAAAGGTTTAAATTTTTCTTTGTCTTATTGCTTACTAACTTTTTGCCATTTTTGCCATTCTTAGAATATTTGTGCCCATGTTAGAGTGTGCTCCTTGGCCAGGTGTTGTAGATGTTCATAGACTATAAAGGCAGCTTAGACATGTAGCTCACATATAGATACTGACAATTAGATGCCTAAATTACATGTCTTAATTGGAAACAAACTTCTGGTTTTCATGAAGTATCCATTGTTTTGTTTTTAATTTGAAAATTGAAATGACACCTCTTGAAATCAAAGCAGATTGTTTAACAGGCAGTGAACCTATGTGTTCATTCACATTTATGCCGACATTTTAATTGGTTTTGATTAGACGTTTGGTGCAAAGTCAGCCTCTGTCAATGAGATGTAGAGCCTGTACTGGATCTGAAGAGGCTGATGAAACTATGACTGTATATGTGTTGATATCACCCTGTAAGAACTATTTTTACCTTAGAGAAAGTTGGCATCTATTCTTTTCACTGAAACTTGTTAGTCATGTTAGTTAGTGCTTAAGTTGAAAAATATCACTAAAATATATTTCTGTAGCTTTTACCTTGATGTTTCATTTTTTTCCAGGTTATTGATACTTAACAATGAACTTCAGATTGCTCAACAGAAAAAAATAAAATAGATCATGCTTGCATTTTTGTGTAAGAATATGGTTTTTGTTTGTTGGTGGTAAGATCTGTGCTCTAAAAATGTGTGAAACTTTTTCATGAACACATTTCTCATTATGCGTAGACTAAAACACAGTGTGTGACGTTTAGATTAAGAACACACACTGAGCTTCAAACTGTGAGGAAATTTTTATTATCTGACATGGTGATGAGCAGCTAAAATCTTACAAATTCTCACGAATCAACAACCATGGCTGCAAACAGAAAAGCACTCGTCAGTCAGATCCATGCTGTTCTGTCATCTTTCAGAAATATTTTCTTATTTTTAAATTTTATGAACTTTATCTCAGATTTCTAGAATTGCTTTTCTAGAATTACTTTTATGGGGAAACACTTTTTAAAATGACAGTGTGGAATGTTGTATTCATTGTGAAGTATTTTCCTCCTTAAAAATTAATTAAAAAAAAAAAAGTTCTTGAAATCTGTGTTTTCTCCTGACAAAGCTTCATTTTAAGAAGCTGCCCTTTCTCACTAAAACACTGGTTGGAAAACTCACAGTATGTACCCAGGATATAAACAGTCCAGTCTATTTCTCCTCCTGGTTTGTCGGTGACATTTTGCTATTCCCCTGTGTGTCCCATGCCTTGGAATGTGTCTCTGTGCCACACTTCGTCGCTTTTGAATTTGGTGCTGAGGTGAAGTAGAGCAGAATGCGGCTACCAGCATGAGGCCAGTCACCACTGCAAGGCCAGAAAAAAGCTCTGGGATGGGCAGAACCTTACAGCTTCTTACTTACCAAAGTGAACGTTTTAGGTTTGGAAAGAGAAAGTCACTTGAGTGTGTAAGGGAGAAGGTACTTGGGATTTAGGATGATTGTGAAAGTAAGCTATGGAGCTCAGTGACTGTCTTCACCTGGCTTTTCCTTGTGGTGCAAGAGTAAGTCCCAAATTTCTCAGATTGGAGATTGCTTTTTGTTAATAGGTATGATTAACAAATTTTGCATTGTATTTTTCAAAGTATTAAACATTGACTGCTTCTATATCTCTCTTTGAAAGCATTAAAAGAGAACAGCTCAGAGGTAGTTCAGCCTTTTCTAATGGGTTGTGGAACAAAGGAACCAAAGATCACTCAGCTGTGTCTAGCAGCCATACAGAGGCTCATGTCCCATGAAGTTGTCTCAGAGGTAAGATCAGTCTTTATATAAATACATAAATATTCCAGTGTGAGAAATACTCAGACTGAAGGTGGAAGCTTCTTTTAGGAGGCTGTTTGTATTATAATGAGCGTAGTCTGCAAAGTATTTTACTTGTATCTGTTTTTAAAAAACTGCAATTTAAAAGAAAACCTTTTTGACCATTAAAAAAAAAAGAAAATTTAAAAGAGGTGATGAAGTATTAGTAACTTCTAGACGGAAATTAATGAAAATTCAAACCAGTTCATTTAGTTTGCATTCTTACATTGCAGGAACAGAACATGTAATGGTCTTTCATAAATAGAATTCTGAAAGTTGCGTTCACAAAATTTACTCTGTGATAACATTATGTATTATGTGTTTGCTTACATTTTACTTTTAAAAATAAGGTAAAAGGTATGCACATTTCCTGCAACTGTCAGTGTCATGATATGCTACTACATATATAGTGTGTTAAGAAGCTGGTGAAAGTAATACTCTGCTTACATAATATAAAATTACGCTGTTTTTTCTTCAATATGAATGATTTTTGAGAATAAAAAGTCTTTGGACTGCTTTTTTTTGTATTTTCGAATAGAAAATAAAGTACACACTTTAATTTGGACTACACATTAAGAGATTTCTGCTGTCAGTTCTTTAAAAATACCTTGGGAAGCTTGTGACAATGCAATTGGCTTTATGTTCTCAGTGTAGTCCCATGGTACAAACAAACAGGCAAGTTCAGTTATGAAATGCATTTATGACAGTGCTGTCCTTACATGTATACACATGATATTCCAGTATGTAAACATATTAATTGTTGGCAAAATATTATTTCTTTGTAGGCTGCAGCAGGAAACATTATTAATATGCTTTGGCAACTGATGGAAAATAGTCTTGAAGAACTTAAATTGCTCCAGACAGTTCTTGTACTTTTAACAACCAATACAGTTGTGCATGATGAAGCACTGTCCAAGGTAAGAATTTGTTAGTGACAACCAGGTATGTACAGTATAGTATGTACAATATCCGAGAGGAAAAACAGAGATAAATTTTACATATGAAGCATTTGGAAATAATGGAAGAGGAGGGGTTTTCTTCATTCTGTTGTGTCCCTGTTGTCTTTATATCTAGACTCTGAAAACAAGATTTCTTCTAGCTTCCTTTTTAATTTGTTTTTTAATTCCTCCATAATAATATGTCCAGAGATGTGTTGTAGAATTTCAGACTAATGTGGGGATACCAGCTGAGCAGAGCCCACAAGTCATTTACATGAAAAACAAGCAAAAGAAAATCCTACATCTTCTATGGCTTAGAGCATGTAGCACTGTGGCCAGGTGCAGTTGAGGTTCATGCAAGTGCAAGAGCATGGAATAAGGACAAAAGAACAAGAAATACAGGTTTCACTACACATACAGATACTAATTTTCAAAATTCATTATAAAATAAGTAAGTATGAAACTATGTATTAGAGGTAATATGAAATCCAGTGGAAAACAATATTCGGGTCACTGCTGTCACAATGACACATTAAAAATATGCGCCTTAGAGAGGAATAATAGCAGTCGAGGCAGCATTGTTGTGATTTTAATGTAGGTGAGGAATTGTATTTTACCTTTGAAGTTGACAGACCTTTCTGTGATTAACCTTATAATCCGAATGTCCTTTTGACATTAATGTTCGTACACCTTGTTTTATGTGGTTGAGTACTGCGTGTTTCTGTATGATAATTGTAGATTTATTAGCACTTCGTAGTATCTTCAGTTAATACCAGTTCTAGATTATCTTGGTGGAAGATTACCGAAGAGTATTTGGCTAGGATAATCCATAAAACTTATTCTGGTTCTTCAAATTTAAAATGATTAAAACAATTTCTTTTTCAGGCAACCTTTTGACAAACTAGTGGAAAGAATGCTCAATCAGCTGTCTGGACTCTTAGCTAAAAGATGAAAATACATTGTTGTAAGGTGATCGTTTTTTCTCTCCCTTTCAGGCAATTGTACTTTGTTTTCGATTGCATTTCACAAAAGATAATATCACAAATAACACTGCGGCAGCTACAGTGAGGCAGGTAGTTACTGTTGTCTTTGAGAGGGTGGTTGCTGAAGATGAACGATACAAAGGTGGGCATACTTCTTACTCTGCTTGCTTGTGTTAACTTGTTTTTTGGACATACATCAAATGTTTATCTTTTTCAGTTTAGTAAAAAGTTTATAAGCATTATGTAAAATAAAAAATCACAGTCAGTAATCTTTACTGTCTTTTACAAACTTACTTGTATTCACATAAGATGTAATGCTTAGCCATTGTGTCAGCCCAAGCCAGTGCATCTGTATATAAAACCTAGATACTTTTCAAGCTGTGAGAAATGGTCTTCAGGTTAGTATTGTGAAGGAATTTGAGGTGAGCATGTTATTTATGGTGAAGTTAGCTTGGATTACAGAGTATGAAATACATAGCAGTAGTGGTTTTGAAGAGAGCATTTACTGGAAAGAAGTGCTTGGCACTGATGATCTTTGGTATTCAATCTAATGTTTATTTCTGTAGACATAAATACTTGCAGTAGAATTACCTGGCCATTCTCCTAGAATCTTTTTGTAAGAACACTTAGTTTATACTTGATTTTTCAACAGTCCTTAGTTAACAAAACTGGGTTTTGTTTTCACACAGATACTATTGACCAGCCAGTTGCAGTTCAAGGAAATAGTAACAGAAGATCTGTCAGTACACTGAAGCCATGTGCTAAGGATGCATATATGCTTTTTCAGGTAGTTGGGGGGCATATATTTATCCATTTGCAGTTATGATTGGGTGCTTCTACATCTCTGTAAAAAATTTCAAAAATTTGCTGTTAGCAATTTGACAAGGTCCTTAACCAGAGCCTCAGGCTTTCTTAGGTGCATTTACTGTAATTGGCAATGATATGCTGTATCCCAGAGAGGTGACTGGAAATCGAAGAAAAAGTGGCCTAGCAATATGTTTTACTATACATCTTAAATAACAGCTAAATGTGCATGTCTGTATTAAATCAAAGATTCTTTTTTCCATGAGCCACATACTGCTACTATAGGTCAGTCTTGCTTCTTGTGCTTGGTATTGTACATTAAAGTTCAGGATATGATGAATAATAGCAATTGTATTCATCACACCAGTTAAAATTTTCGTGACTTAGCAAATTTACTGGTCTTGAGATATTTTTGAGGGCAGGAATGAACACAGTTGCTGCAAGCATACCAGCAAAGTTTAAAATTTCTTTTTAAAGGTTTTGCTTAATAATTTAAGTAAAAGAAGTGTTTGGGGAAAAGTTATCTTGAAATTGGATAATCCCTAATTACAGAAGAGGGAGAGAGTGTAGATTTTGTTGTAAACTCAGAAAACTTATGCCTGTACAGGACTGTGCAGAGAATGTAAATGTTATTGTATTTTTTTTAAGGATCTTTGTCAGTTAGTTAATGCTGATGCTCCCTACTGGCTCGTGGGTATGACAGAAATGACCCGGACATTTGGCCTTGAACTTCTTGAGTCAGTCCTCAATGACTTTCCACAGGTGTTTTTACAAGTGAGTAGTTCTTAGAGGGGAAAATAGAAAGACTTTTCACATAGGTATTAAAATCTACACTTCATTAACTCCTCTTTAATTTAGCGTGAGTACTACTTTTCAGAAGGACTTGTAGCTTTTACAGAGAAATGCTCTCTGTTTTTTGTCCACTTTTTTCTATTACCATACACTATATTTATGTTTGTGCATTTTGTAGAGCATGTTTTACTCTGTTTCGCTTTTCGTTTTGCCATTTGAATTTCCTCCAAAGATGCATTATCTGATTTTGCATAATTTACGACAGCTCTGTTACTTAGTTTATGGTGTTATTTCTACATAAACATTAACCTCGCCCCACTTGCAAAGCAGCAAGAATCATGACTATGAACTGTGTGGATCTACTACATATAAATGCACCATGATCCTACAGTCACGTATTTTAGCAGACAGGAGCTAAATTAAAAAAATTAAATATATAATGAATGAATTATTAGCAGCGTATTTCAGTTTACAAAGTACAAGAAGAGGGGTGCATGGTATGAACCTGACCATACCATTTTGTTATGCTTTTTGGTAGCTTTACAGTGGTGTCTGCCATTCTTCCTTTTCATTTCCTGAGTGTGTAATTTATACCAAGATTTACATGACTTCTGGGTGCTTGATCATAGCAGCAAATCTAAATAAGATGCATAATCAGAGCTACTAGTAGAAGTTAAAGATTATCTGCTTAAAATTTGTTCTGTTTTCTTTTTCAGCATCAGGAATTCAGTTTTCTTCTTAAAGAAAGAGTATGCCCTCTTGTTATAAAGCTCTTTTCCCCAAATATCAAATTCAGGCAAGGTTCCAGCACGTCATCTTCCCCAGCACCAGTAGAAAAACCGTACTTCCCCATCTGTATGCGTTTGCTGAGAGTAGTTTCTGTTTTGATTAAGCAGTTTTACAGTTTGCTGGTAAGAATATGTTCAATTTTAATTTATACAATTCTGTTTTTCTCCGTATATGCCAGTACTGTGGTCAGTAATAGTATTAATTAGTTCTTGGTAACTGTTCATATATACTGAGGAAAGAAAAGTCTAAATATTCTTTTCCTCTTCTGTGTATTTGTGTTTACATGTATTCTACCTGTATGATTTTATTAAACGTGGGTTTGTATAAATTCTCAGGGTAAATTAGCTGTTACATTTTCTCTACTTGACTGCCTTTCAGTTAAAGTTTTGGGAACTAGGTTTGCGTAGCTTTAGATATTGTTGATTGTTGTGCTTTGTTAATACTTGCTAAGAGGCTTTTGACTTGTTTTGCAAAAGCTGTTGACAGAATGTATGAACATATGAAAATCATATTTACCTGTTCTTACCTCCTGATACCTTCTGAAGTTCTTACCTTCTAGAGAAAGACTTTTTTTTTCCATTTCATTTTTTACTGTAGCATATGTAAGAACTTTAATGCAGTGTCTTTGAGGAATTTAATTCCTTCAATACAATTGCATATGTGGCATTAGCTTAAGAAAATTATGATTATTAGGTATGTTTTTTATATAATTTTGAATAAATGCTTGTTGAAGGGATTTTTTAGTTCCTATGCAAAACTTGCTGGGATAGGATTCCTAAGATGAAACAGAAAGTTTTTTTAGAAAATATTTGTAGGAGACTTTCTTCTTATTTAATGGCTATAAACTATATCTTTTAGGTAACAGAATGTGAAATCTTTCTGTCATTGCTGGTTAAATTTCTGGATGCAGACAAACCACAGTGGCTGAGAGCTGTTGCAGTAGAATCTATTCACAGGCTTTGTGTGCAGCCTCAGCTATTAAGGTATTAAATATATTGAGTTTCACTTTTACATAAAATTTAAGAAATCTTTTTATTTTTCTCTGGTGGAAAATGCTTCCTAAAACATTGTAAATATGTAGAAACTTAAATGCAATAAACTCTTCAAGATAATTTTAATAAAGCGTTAGGCTATGCTTGCTTTCCAGGAAGGGCTGAATTACTGTTACTTGAGTGTTCCAAACCCTCTTTCACTTACCAGTAATAAATGAACATTTACCTAAAACTAAATATGATTATTTACCTAAATATTTGCAGTTAAAATGTGCTGTTAGTCTGCACTTTGGTGGGGGGAGGGAGTTGCTGTTAAAATGTACTTTTAGTCCCTAATTTGTCAAATGCTAACTATATCTTATAAAACGCTTTTCAGGTCCTTTTGTCAGTCTTATGATATGAAGCAACATTCCACTAAAGTTTTCCGTGATATTGTGAATGCATTGGGGTCCTTCATCCAGTCACTATTTCTTGTACCAAGCACAGGGAGCACATCAGCAACACCAAACCAAACTGGTAAAGCCTTGTCCTTACTATAATTATAATTTTACAGCATCTTGTAATAAAAATTCTGATTTGATTCAGTATATACATTTGGCTTGATACAGTTCTGTACTTCTCTGTTCACTTAGGTGGAAAACTAGCTTGAACCAACCAATGTTTTCAGGTCTGGTACAAGAGGTGATTTTATCTTGTCTGTCTTGTGGGGAAGACATAGTCCTCAGTCAGCAGAGCAGAGCTTCTACAGCAGCCAAGCTCCCTGGTTCACAGCTTTTCTAAGGGAAATTCTGAGGAAATTATTTCTTATTTCTGACTATAACAAGTTTCTTTCTACTTGAGTGGGGATGTCATTTATGGCAGTGTGCAATGGTAATAGTAAGACAGTGTTTGCTTCCTCCTGGAAGGCAATCACTAATTCTTCTGGATGTTCAGGGTTAAAACTGGCCTAAGGAAGCCAAGGGGTAAAAAGAAAGATCTGAGTTTTACAGATTATCTTTGCTTTTTCTGTAATGTGAGAGCAGGGACCTTGCAGATATCCTAGTTCCAACCCCCCTGCCATGGATAGGGACACCTTCCACTTGACCAGGTTGTTCAAAGCCCTGTCCAGCCTGGCCTTGAACACTTACACACCTTATACAGCTGTAGTTGGCTTTTGAGCCTCAGAGTACAACAGAGTAGCTGTTCATAAGAGAAGTTGAAAGCTGCACTACCAAAGCTTTGTGCCACTTATCTTGTACTGGTGTAATGTTTACCACTTCAAGGAGTCATATTGATATAAAAATAGTTGTCTGTGTCTGACTGCTCAGTGGAATCACAGGAAAAAACACCAGTCTGTGTTTGTGTTAGTGGCAACATTTGATTAACCACTTCTGCTTAGCAGCATGACTTTGTTGTTTCAATCTGTTAAGCTTTACTGTGTTAAAATGTATACATAGATTTCAGAGTGTATTCATATTACTGAAATTAATAGCTTAGTGTTGGTATATATTAAAAGCAAGCACATCAAAATGGCTGTGTTACACTGACGTATTAGGTGCTGTGAGTTCATGGGGACTCTGCCTTTCTCTCCACATTGTCTGTACAAAGAGTCTGAACATGTGATACCTACTCCTAGTAAGTGTAGACCTCCTTTGTGTAGGAAGCGTATACATACAGAATTCCTTGTCCCTTTATCTGCTTTATTTGGCTTAAATTGGAACCAAAATTTGTTCCTTCCTAGCTGTTGGTTGGCATGTTGTCAGCTCTTCCCCAGATCTGTCTGTTTTCTTCTGTCTTGCCATGGAACAGGTTCAAACATTGCAGTTTTCTTTCCATCTCTTCTTGTGGCTTTTTTATGTCTGAAATCAAGTTTATTCTTGGAACGATTAACCTCTCTTTCCTACTAGAAGTTCTAGATGCAACTATTCGGATAATGATAATCAAACAATATCACTAAAATATATATTGTTTTATCAAAACCAATGAAAGTTTAATTCTTTTGCAGAATGTGATGAATGCTGCTATGTCTTTCACAAATATATTTTATTCTGACTGAAAATAAGGTAGTTAGCATCAATCAACTTTGTCTTTTAAACTAACTACTTTGCACATAAGATCGTGTTTTAGACAGGAGAGGGAGCTCAACAATACTTTTTGATGGTGGTGGTGGTTTTTATTACTGAGCATGGTGTCTCAGATTAATTCTGTTATCTCAACTTAAAAATTAAATATATAAAAAGGATGTTTGCTGATAGCTAAAATTAGATGGGTTAATTTTATCACTTTGTTTTTCTGGGCAGGAAGCAATGCATCGGGGAATACTGGCTCAGCACAGACTAGCCCAGGAGTGCTTGGAATGGGAGGAGGAGCAACTGTATTACCTGCTTTTGAATACAGAGGCACTTGGATACCTATCCTGAATGTAACAGTACAAGGCAGTGCTAAAGCTACCTAGTAAGTACCCCTATCTTTTTGAAAATGTATATGACAAATATTTTTTATTTCCAACTTGATAGTTTAAGGAATTTCTTATTACTGAATAATGAAGTCTTCATTTTACTGGCATTGAGGTGTATTGTGGATTTTCTTATTGTCGGTGCCATGAGGTGTTCTTATTTTTTGCTATTTTGTCTGCATGCTTTGAATTCTGATCCAAATGTCCCCTATGGCTTTAGCATCTGTTGGATTTTTTTTCTACCATACTCTTCCTATATTAACTCTGCACTTTTAGACCTCACTACAGTATAAAACAATTCTAGCATACTTTTTGCTGGGTTGTGTAATGGCAAGCATGAGGGGTATTAAGCAAATGAGGCACCAATGGGAGTGAAAAAGTAGCTTTCTTAAACCAGCTTTACCGTATTTACAGTTTTTATGGAACTGGATATTGTGGTAGATAATGGCCAGGTCATTCCACACAATATATTGACCTATATACAAAAGTTAGGCTGTGAATGCTTCTTAGAATGATGAATTATTTTGTCATGAGTTTGTGTAAGGGAGATCATGTTCTTTGTTTAAAGCCGCAAATACTATGCTTCTGTCAAAATAGTGGCAGTTTTTTCATATCACTCATGACCATTAAAAGTAAATCTCTTCCAAATTAGAATTGCCCGTGAAATGTAAGCATACTAATACTCAGTGAAATCAGCAAATAGCCTGGTTCTCAATACTTTTTAAAGGTAGAAACTCCTTTATCTGCCTTTCAGATACAGGACAAATTCATCCTCAGATTTCAATAATTTAACATGTGTGTATTGACTTGACTTCTTGTTCCAGTAGTGGCCATGAATGTTATCTTAGGTTGTCTGACTGTGCTTAGGAAATGTAAATTTTTAACAAAAGTGGATGAAAGCTAGTTAGTGCTTTGGCCAGCTGTTACAACCTCCTGCTTTCCTTCCTTCTCTTTTTTTCTTATGTGCTGTTCTTAACTGGCTCAAGAACATCGTAGCATCATCATAGTCTCCTGTGCTATTCTGAACTTGCTTGTGTCTTACCTTTGGATCTCTCCAGTGACTCCATGATTCCCACTGAGTAATGTTGTTTTTTTTGTTTTGTTGTTTTTTTGTTTGTTTTGGTTTTTTGTTTTTTTTTTTTTTAATTGTATGTAAGGTTGTGGAATTGTCACTAGAATGTCTTGTCAGCAGTTTTTTCTCCTATCTTGTACTTTTGTCTGTAGTCCCTGCACGTAAGGAGATGACTAACTGTAGATTTGAGTCAAATCCTAGCACTGATTCTATCCTACTGCTGCCATTAGATTTTCATACAATGGCCACCTCTTACATGTTTACACAATGTTTTAATTGAAATACGAGTTGTGAACAGAGCTAGTAGAGGCCTTTTTGCCAGTGTAGGCAAAAAGTGGTCTCTTCCCAGACCACTATGCCTTGTCTTCCTCTTTACACTAGGAAGTAAATGTTTTTAATAGGAATACACAACAACTACAAAACCCATTAAGAGTTTCAATTAGAACAATATATATACACACACACACTTATTTGCAGATAGAGGGTGAAATGTTGACCATTTGATTTACCTATGCTGCCTTTGCCCCCAGATGTCTAAGGCAGCCATCATCAGGAAGTTACATGTGTGGAAGAAGGAAAATCCTTTGTGCAAAAAGGAGTGGTGACACTACCTTGTAGAAGTGTCTTTGGTATACTGTAGCTGGAATACTTAGTCTTTTTAAGACTCATATGCAGAGGAAATTAGGAAATACTGTTTGTTGGGATAGCCGGTAGTTTTTGTAAGAGACTGTCTCCCCTGTGGCAGCTACAATCTGTTTCCTGTTGGATTTGTAACTCAGCAGATCTTCTGAAGGGGGAGTGAGGCTGCAGTTCCAGCACAGTGATGTTTTAATTGATTGCATGGTTTTCAGCAGTGAATTGTGTAGACATTTCCCTTATATACAAATAGCTTCCCTTGTTTACCTGTGCATGTAGGTGATGAATACTTGGTCATATGCTATATAGCTGTGACAGGCTTTTCTGGTCATATGGACTCAAAGATAATGATAATGGAACATCTGATTTGTTCTTAATTTGTTACTGATATGTTCACACTGTCATGACTTTCTGACCTGTTTCCTCTGGTGTTCCTATGTAGCTGTGTTCTTCTGAATAGTTTCTGTCACAGTGGTTTTAAGTAAAATAATAATAAAAGTAGAATAATTCACTCAGTGATACTTGCTTATATGTGTTGATTTTTAAAAATGTGCATTTGCAGATACAAATATTGTACTTGGAGTTTGTTCCCTTTCATTTACTTTTTTGTTTAGTGACTCATTTACTCTTTTACTTAATGACTTAAAGTTTTTTTTTTTCTTGAGATGCTGTAGATCTTGAAGGGTGGTATTTGGGGCCTGTTTGTACTTAACATTCACCTGGAATCTTGTTTTTTATTATTGTTTTTAATCACAGTGGTACTGTTGCACACTTACTTGTCATGCTTCAATTTTTAGTTTGGAAATGCTGGACAAAGTAGAGCCACCTACGATCCCTGAAGGCTATGCCATGTCAGTGGCATTTCACTGTTTACTGGATCTTGTCCGTGGTATCACTACCATGATTGAAGGAGAGTTGGGAGAGGCAGAAACAGTCAGTCAGACCACATCAGAGACAACTTCATTACCATCACAGTCTTCAGAGCAGCAAGACTTGCAGTCTGTATCTGATCAATCAGAGAAAGAACTAGGTATTTGAAAATGCAAACACTATTTAAATACAGAAGTTCTACATAAAGCAGGATTAAAATACATGCTTACATTTTTTGTTTCTAAATTGTGTATAAAAACTTGTAATGAAGTGGCATTTGTTTTTTTGTTTATTTGTTGTTTGTAACAGGACAGTTACAGACTGTCCTGCAGCAGTCTCTAAAAAAAAAATACTTGATGTAGTGCTTCTGTCCTATAGCACCTTAGCCATAGAATCCTTCTAATCTACTAATACTGTTTCACATGTGGGATGTAAGAGAAAGATAACAGGCATTCTGTTCTCCAAAACTACTATTCTGACTCCTGCTTAAAGCTGAGATCCAAGGCGCAAGAGACACCCTGAGATGAAATGTGGCAGTTAAGATCACATTAAAGAATGTATTTCTAGTAGCAAAAGAAAAAGATGAACATTTTAATGAAGAGATTTCAAGTAAGATGGAAGTATTTAGGGAAGAACTTTTTTAAGAGCAGAACAAATAGGAACTGAGGCATGTATCTGTGCAGCATATGAGGAGTTTGTGTATGTACTTGTGTCTCGGGGCGGATTTTAGGTTGTGTACCAGGGAGCAGAGACCGCAGTGCTGTGGGTTGTACCCAGGGGGAGAGGAAAGGGGCTTGTGCTGAGCGCGGTGGAGCTCTCCGTGGTACTGCAGGCAGATGCACACCAGCCCAGCCCAGGGTCCTGGTGTGCCCTGGTGCAGGGAGGGACGTGTGGAAATGATACGGGCGGATTTTTTCCTAAAGTAAAGAAATAGGAAAAAACCACAGAACATTATAAATACCGGGGGAGAAAATTTCAGTGAGTTTCTTGTCCCACATTTGCATGCTTCTGAATGCTTATTTTTATAGACAGAGATTAAAAATAGTTATATATACAAAAGATCTTTTTTGTATAATTTAGAATAAGCATTGCCTTGGTGACATCTTTTACTTTAGCAATATTATTTCAAATGAGACTGTTAAAACAGTACTAGTGGGAGCAAGTTTGTGTATATGCATATATGGCTATCTAAACCTATGTATAAAAACACACTTTAAAAGAAACAGTAGCAAATATTTTGTTTGTTATATATAATAGAAAGTTACTAAGAAAAATACTGTGTTTCTGCTATGAACAATTATATGCATTTCTTTCAAGTTAGCAGAGCTGTCTGGGAAGAAATGGTGAATGCTTGTTGGTGTGGTCTTCTGGCTGCTTTATCACTTCTACTTGATGCAAGGTATTTAGTCTTTCGTTTCTCTTGGGTTTTTTGTTGTTGGTTTGGTTTTTTTGTTTGTTTGTTTGGGTGTTTTTGTTTGGTTTTTTTCCCCCCAAAGATGACATTCCCAACTGTATTTTGAACTGACTTCTGATACTGGTCAAGTTGAAAGTTGTATGAGAGAGCGCTGTTCATGGCATCTGAGCAGACAGGTTTGTGGATTAGTGATGGCTGGGCTAAGTGAGGATCTGTTAAGAAAAAACAACACAAAAGTCTCAGAAGTCTAGCATCAAACTTTAATGTATTTCAATATAGAACAATTAATTATATTTTCAAAGGCTTGCTTTTAAACTGTTATTTTTATTCCTTTTTACTTTGACTGAATGTTTCAACACATTGAAGTGATTCTGTGTCCTGATTACTGTTGATAAGATACTGAATAATGTCTCAGTACTTGTTAGTGTTGTGCAGTCTTTGAAGTGGAAAAGCTGTTTACTAGATAATAACTTTGGTAATTTAATTGTCTCTTTCAAAGAATCTTTTCTTATCAAACACCATTTTCTGAAATTAGAGATAAATACCTCCTCACAGTCTGCTTTGCATTCAGAAGTAAAGACCAATTTTATAGGGAATGGTTCTGAAGATCGTTGGGTTTTTGGTTTGGTTTTTGTTTTTATTTTTATTTTTATTGATTGTTCTTGCCCTTCAGTATTTGTAGTGTTGACAGGTTTAAAGTCTATGTTCTTATTCCTTTCAGTTTTGGCTAGCTGCTTGCTTCTGTGCTGTGGACTATTTCTTGCTAAACAGTGTGTGTGTACTCTTTCAGCACTGATGAAGCTGCCACTGAAAATATTCTAAAAGCAGAATTGACTATGGCTGCACTTTGTGGAAGACTGGGTCTTGTAACATCAAGAGATGCCTTTATCACTGCCATTTGCAAAGGATCTTTGCCTCCTCACTATGCCCTTACTGTATTAAACAGCACAACTGCAGCTCTGTCCAGCAAATGTAAGCATATAGGTTTTCCTTAACTTTGCTTCCATGTATTCTCCAATAAACCTGAGTTGTCCCAGGATGCAATTCAAAAGGTACATAACTGTAGAATTTGTCTATGCTAAATTATGTTAGAATCCTCGGACAGGATCTAGACTGTCTGCTTTCCAGAACCAGTTAGTCTTGCAGCATCTGCTGGGTATCATTCTAGTGATCTTAAAACTTCCTGAATGCTTAGCATATGTCAGAAGTTCATATTCTAAGGAGATGTATTTACTATCTTAAAGGTATGTTAGAATATGTGATTAAGGCATTCAAATTCTGAAAGGGTCTCTGAGCAGCTCAGATACTTAAGAATTTGCTAGAACATCCTGCATTTGTGGTCTACTACAGCGTTTTCTACAATTGTCTAGTGATGGTAGTACTTACTGTGTAAATGGAAGATCTTACTTTCCAGGCTCTGTTCGACTTAGAAGAGGTTGAATTGACGTTCCCCACATCCTGAGAGAATGTTGTAATTCATGGAATATGCCAGTTGAGGATGTGCTCAATTTCTAGTTTTGAAAATGAGTTACTATGTACTAAGAAATGCAACTATCTGGAGAATATGCAGACTGATCGTTAGACCTCTTAATATAAAACAGAATATCTTAGTCTGGGGAAAAAGGACCCATACGTTTACTCCAGCCCAAAAGCTAACTTTGTTATTAGATCATACGTCTGTGAAGCAGTATGCATGACTGAGCTACATAAATCATTACGGAAATGAAGCAGTGAACGTAAGTTATTTTATATAGGTTACTCGTCTTTTTACAGGTGAATTCTAAAATAGGTGTCCTGAAGTCCTGTATTGGAAAAACATCATGATATAGCATTTATGACACCTTTATTTTCTGAGTGTACTAGTACAATGGTAGCACAAATCATACCATTTACACACAATTACCACCGATAACTGAGTTGAGACATAGTCTAATGGTCATATTGTTGCGCAAATATCCCAGTCTTGACATAAAATGTATTAATGTGTTGCAAGCAATATCTAATAGTTAGTGAGAGGGAGTAATTACTGGCTCCTTTAACTCTGTAAGGCAACGATATAATAATCTAAATATGACTAAAGGTCTCAAAGTGACTTACCTTAAAACTGTGAAACAAAAATTCTCTGGACAGTGTTTACCAGAAAGTGGTTGTTACTACCAGTAAGTACTGGATTTTAAACATAAATTTTTTAATTTTTTTTTTCCTTCTCAATTTTCCTCTAGCATATTCCATTCAAGGACAGAATGTTCAAATGATCAGTCCCTCAAGTGAATCTCACCAGCAGGTTGTAGCAGTAGGGCAACCCTTAGCTCTTCAGCCACAGGGAACAGTAATGGTAAGTACAATTTGTAAGTGATCTCACCCTGCTTAACTGCTTCTTTCTGTGTCCCACTGTGTTTCAAAAATAGCCAACAGATAAACAGTATTCTTACAAATAATGGTTATCTGAAATGTTAACCTAAGCTTTTAATTTGGAACAGCCCTGGGCAGTAAAGTTCTCTAAGTGTAAAGAAGACTTACTCTTGTTTTTCATCTGACTCTTAATCTCAGCAGCTGCCATCCATTCCATTTGAAAAACCATAGATCTTAGCTCTATTATGGGCATGTGTGTGAAAGTTCACTTACGTGGTTTTTTAAGGTAGACTCTGATTTTGTGGGAAAGATACACTTAAAGCTGGAGTACTTTAACTTGTGCCTTTGATAATAATGTGAAACTGGGAGGAGAGGGCAGTGATCAAATCACATTCAACCCCAGCAAGATAAGACTGAGAGAAGAAGGAGAAATACTGAACTACTTCTCTAAAAAATGATACATTGCATCAGTGCAAACAAAATGTAATCTTTAAAGTCTTTAGTAAAAAACTGCAAATTTCCTAGAAACACTATTATTGTAGAATAATAAGAATAATGTGGTTGGTTGTTGTGGTTTTTTTTAGCTGACTTCAAAAAATATCCAGTGTATGAGGACATTACTCAACTTAGCTCACTGCCATGGAGCTGTTCTTGGTACATCGTGGCAACTTGTCCTGGCTACTCTTCAGGTATAGAGGAAATATTTATGCCTTGCTTTTTTTGCCATAATTTGGGTTTGAGTTCTTACGTGGGCAATAGAAGAAGCTTTGATTCTACTGATGGTCTACTTTGTATTGCCTTGAGTAAGTACTGTAGAATGTCTCTTGAATTGTTTGGCTGGAATACTGCCAGCTAGCTCAAGTACAATGCTAATTTCCTCACTAAAAGGAGCCTGAAAAGGCTTTTCTTCTGAAAATGATCCTTTTGTATTTCAGCATCTTGTGTGGATTCTGGGACTGAAGCCTGGTGTTGGGGGTGCGTTAAAACCTGGAAGAGCTGTAGAAGGGCCCAGCACGGTAAGCAGGATCATGATTGTTCATTTCACATTTAATGATTATGGAGTATTTTCTATTGCAGTCTGTAAGACACATTTCTGTCTCTTTTTCAAGGTTCTGACTACAGCAGTTATGACTGATCTGCCAGTTATATCCAACATACTTTCAAGGCTTTTTGAAAGCTCACAGTAAGAAACCTTATCTTATAATTAAAATAATGTGTGTGTATCAAGCTTGACAGTGTTTTGATAGCTGTTATTTTTCAGATACCTTGACGATGTGTCTTTACATCATTTAATAAATGCCCTTTGCTCGTTGTCTCTGGAAGCCATGGATATGGCCTATGGAAACAATAAGGTATAGTTTTTTAGTTTCTTTTTAGATGTGTTTGTGAAACAGGCAGATGAGGTACTTTTATCATAGAATCAACTAGGTTTGAAAAGACCTTTAAGATGATCAAGTCCAACCTTTACCCCAGGTCTGCCAAGTCCACTGCTAAACCGTGTCACTAAGGGCCTCATCTACATGGCCACTTCCAAAATCCTTCAAGCTAACTATTTCTAATATTAAGACAGTAATACATTTGATACTCTAGAGTAAAAAATAAATTACGAACCAGAGAATGTCTTGTTTATAATAGTTCATTCAATGGTTACTAAATCCTCTTGAACATTCTCATTGCATTCTTGCTATGTTTTTTCTTAACTAAGGAATGTCATGTATTTCCATTAATCAGATTTCGGGTGGATAAAACTTTTAAAAGCCTTGGTAATTTCAGAGGTTAGGGATTCTGAATATCACAGTATATTCTGTGAGGTGCTGAGTTTCATTTCAGTTTTCTCTTATAATACACCTCAGAAGAAGCCTGACAATTTAGATATTGAAACCCCCTTGATAATTCAAACTTGGCAAAATGGTAGCATTCCTGTCAGCCTCAGTAAACAACCTTTAGCTAGAAAGGTTAAAGACCCTGTGATTGAAAAAGATTGAGTATATATTCTAGACACAATGTAATTCCAGAGGAGAGTTTCTGAAAGTTTTTCCTTGATCTATTATAGTAGAGATAATTGTGAATGAAAATACATGTTATAATATTTGCCAATTACAACAACAGTGAATGAATTAAAACAAGCAAAGTTTGTGTTTAAAATCAGTTGAAAATAAGAGTAAAATATCGGCAGAAATAGCAACTGAGAATAATTCCAGCTCAACAGTAATTTTGACTATATCTTGATTTAAGAAAATATAATTAAAAATCTAAAAAAGTGTATTGCAAATATTTGCATATTTACTTGATGAATCGGAAAATTATCATATTCCTGCAGGGCATTTATGAAGCTGGTGGAGTATGAAGCATAAGGAGATTCTTAAATGAAATATTCTTTATTCTTTGTTTATATATAAAAGTTGTAATGGGAGAAAGACTACTTGGCTAGTAATGTATGTTATAAAACTGTTTGGAGGGAGGACTGTGTAAAAACTGCAGTTTTGAAAGGAATATCAGCGCTGTGGTTATTGTCAAACTTGGAGAAAACTATATGAAACATGAGGAAAGAAGTATTTTTCATGATATGCTGTTGCTACCCCCTTGTGGCTTCTCATGCAGTACTGCAGATGCTGTGGAAATTTCCCAGCCATGCTACCTAAGCTGTTATGACAGCATTCACAGCCTACAAAACACAGTACTTCAGTGAGATGAGTTGCACTTTAATTTGTAAATTATGATGTAGCAAAAGACTCTCTCATTATCTAAGTTACCTCAAAGTCATATGTTCAAATTCCATTTTATTAAGGAACCATCACTTTTTGCTGTTGCTAAATTACTGGAAACAGGACTAGTTAATATGCACAGGATTGAGATTCTTTGGAGACCTCTGACCGGTCATCTTCTGGAGGTAAATAGTTGCTTTTATATGTTGTACTAGAACTGAGTTTGTATTAATAAAGATCTTGTGGAAATACATTTGTAAAGTGTAGTTTTTTAAAACAGTCTAGATTGCTTTTACATGCACTTTCTTTTTGCAAATTGAATGCTTCACAATTTTAATTCAAAAGTGAACTTACGTATTTAAATTCGAGTATTTTAATTTATCTTACGACTTTATGGTGCCATCAGTCCTTATATGTTTTAAACACAGCAGTGTTTAAAATGATCAATTTGTTATACTTTATATACATGTTATAATGAAGGCAACACAAACAGGTTCCACTTTGGATTCAAGTAATATGAATATGTAGGAAGATTTTAATGTATGTTTTTACATCCTTACCAGATAGATTGAAGCCACTAGATTTACTTACAAAGGGTTTGCTTGTTTTAAAAGTGTTTAAGCTAAGATTTTGAATGGTCTCTTTAAGAGAATACTGTACAAATATAAAAATAGGTGTCATAATCCTACTTAAATGTCTTCAGTATTTTAACTTCAAGATGAAAAATGTGCTCCATCAAGGAAAAAAAATCTTAAATTTTGAATTTGAAATTAAAAACAGGCGATGGAATATAATTGTAAAGTTTTTATTCTCTATACAGATATGTAGAAGAGAGAAATACAAGAACAGGGTTTGAGTTCAAGTGGGTGAAGGAGAAGGTTTTTCTTCCTCATTTTCCAGAAAGTATCAGACTGCCTTAGAACCAGTGCATTATTTCAAACAGTATTAAGAAGATGCCATCTCTAACCTGATTTATGGAGATCATCTTTGAGTTACAAAAAGGAAGAAGGAAACCAATGCCAAATTCAGTTAAACACAACCTGAGGGAAGAATTTGTTCTCTGTCTCAGAAACTGATTATCTGGTCAGAATCAGAGCATTATGAAGTAGTTCAAATTCTCTCTTTTCTTATATAAGGTAACAAAAATATAAATAAGTCAAGACAGTAGCTATTTCTTGCCTGCTTTTTTTAATATTAAGCTAGCTCTTCTGCATTGTCCTCCTTTTCAGTTTGGCTAGTGGTTGATAAGGGAATGTCCAAAACTGTCAGCCTTCCTAATGATCCTTCCTTGGACTTTGATTCTGGATTCTCATACCATCTGAGCTAGGGCTGGAAGGGTGGGTGGATATAATTTTGTAGAGGTCAATGAAACAGTAGACTTACCTGATTGGTTTCAGGGTAGCATATCAGTTATGGAAGTACAGATCATAGTAGGTATCTATGAACTGGATTTGCAAAATAGTTTTTATTTTTCTGCTCTAAAATAGCAGTTAACAAAACTATTAGGTTTAGATAACTAGGTTCACAAAAAGAAGACATGCATTTGAAACTAAAGCTTGAAATAGTGTTTGCTACTGTTTTGAAATAATTGAGTGTAAGGCTTATTTTATATTCACTGTGTAGTTACTTTTTTTTGAGAATATAGAAGAATGCTTTCTGTGTAGGCTACTGTCATACTTCCTCACATGATTATGTGAAGCAATGTGTGAAAGATGAAACTGGCTTTTATAGTAGCTTAAGGCACAGTTAAACCTGAGAGTTTCAGGCATTCATTGAAGAGTTGTTTGGTGCTTTTTAACCAATCACTCTCTGAATTAGCAGTTAGTATATTCATTTTGGAAAATGTATTGGCTTGAACTGCTGTGGTTTTCATTATTTTTCCTTCTGTGTCTTTCACTGCTTCCTATTGCTTCCTTATTCAGAAGGTATGTTTGTCCAAAAGATACTATTTTTTACTATTAAAAATAATTTTATCATCTAGAGATTTATTTTATAGTTGTAAAAATATTATAATAGCGTATGTAAATTATAATATAATAAAAAATC